AGGGGAGGGAAGGGAGGGTCGTTTCAAGCTACCTCCTAGGAAAGGGTTGTGCTGACTGACAGTCCTCAACGAATGATGTGTCCTGTGCTGAGTAAAGCTGGCGAAATACAAAATACTCAATGACAACTAATCATTTTCCCTCTGAAAAACACCAATCCTAATGTCAAGCTTCAAGTTTTTGCGAAATTTTCTCTAGCACTTTCCTGAAGTGTCTTTCTTTCCAACAAGATCCAGTGTATTTGTCACTCATGCTGTTCCAGAATGCGATGAAAGATGTCGGCGTATATTCGTTGGCGACTGCAATGGAAGAGGTAGTCCAATTTCAATATGCCCCTCTCCGGAGGAGGCCATGGCGAGAGAGACCCCTGTGGGAGGACTTTGTCGGTTAGTGTGATTATAATTGAAAATTATGTTTAAAGTGCGCGATTGTTAGAAGAAAATGACCTCCACTGATGATTTGTCTGTTATGGGGAGATTCTGCATACCATAAATCTCAATGGTGACCCTGTGCACTTGAAATAGAGTTGGGTTCCGAGCTGTTCACTGACGCACAGACTTTCCCTAGTAGTACTCTAGAGAGATCTAATAGATCCTCGTGTTGAGTTGGAAATAAACCAACGTTAGGGTTGAAATAAATTCTCATTCTACAACGACATTGAAGTAAAAATTGTAAATTATTTGGAATATGTCTCATTACCGAGCTCCATATCCCGGGTATGGGAAAGGCGTGACTCCGCCAGTCAGTTGAAATTGGCGGCATCTGCGTATCCGGAGAGACACTGGTGTTGGCTGAATGTATTTTCATTTTGGTATAAAAGGAAAGGCAGAGAATTCTGAATAGAAGTCACTTTCCAATGTAGCGTTCAATGGCCCATAACCTCAGTGCACTTGTTTCCTCGGGAAACTAACATTTCAATACCCTCCAGGGCTACCCTCCTTGTTCCCACAAACTGCGTGACTGCCGTCTTCAGCTCTTCTTCGCCAGAACGCTCTTCCTTGAAGATCTTTTTTAGGTTTGGGAACAAGAAGTAATCACTAACTATTTTCTTCGAGTTTTTTTTTCATTTTCACAATTCCTGTAACCAAGGAATAATTTTCTCAATCCTTTCGCATCAGTCTTTCTGATTCTTCCCGATGGATGACCAGATCAACAGCGATATCTATATGAACTTTTTTAACAAACTATTTCGCAACATACACTATTTCGCAACATACAGTTCCAGGTGTAATAATGTTTACTGAGATGCTGATATTTGCAGCCAAACATGGATGTGTCCTAACGACGGCACTCGTACAACTATTTACAGTGAGCGGCTACCGGATGGGGATTTAATGGACGGTAAGTGCCTAGTAGATTAAACAACTGAGAAACAAAGTACGACTAAAACTAACGACCCATATACGACGGACTTTGACCACGTGACACGTGCGACGAACTGTAAACACCTCTTTCCGGAATTCGCGCAGCGCGCGATAACCACTTGTCGCGAGCGACACTGCTTGGTCTTTCCGTCACATACTGCCGCCCAATATTCATCGTTTCAGTGCCGTATGCTGACTGCAATCCCCTCGATCCCAACGTTTGGAGAATACCACCGGACGGAGAAATCGTTTCAGCTGTCTCGTGCGAATAATGAATTTTACGCGCGACAGACGTCTCGCAGTAATAAGAATCGCTGTAGTTCGAGTCAGCCTGTCCATTGAAAGATACTTTACTTCCCCCAGCGTTCCATGTAGCCTCGTCAAGTGAGTCTCTGAATGGATGGTTCACAGGTGGTAGCAGTAGATGGAACTTCACGAGTTTTGTGGTATTCCTAATAAATAAAGACTGTTCGAGTTTATTGTAATAAAAATTGTAACTCAAATCTTTTTGATGATGTAGTTGTTTGGCATATTCGGCGTCTGTGGTGCGGGAGGTTCGAGTGCCGAGAGGAAATGATATTCACATTCAGGAGGGTAAACCACCCCACACGACAAAGTTTCGCTCACGGGAATTAGACCTTCAAAATTAGCCGGATTTCGCATGGTTGGGGCAGAAAAGGGTAAATGGTCCCGGATCTACTGGTGATTTTGGAAGCTGTATGAGCTGCGCGATATGCAGACTCTATACCTGCCATATGCTGGCCTTAACACTAATTGACTAATTCATTTAATTGTATTTATGGTGTTACTTGTGGTTCTCCAATCTTCATAAGAGTGATTTACAAATTCATTAAGTTAGTCACGCTGGATCAAATATATCTGTACTGGTAAATGAACGTGGACGCATGTTGAATACTGTAGGTAACAACAGGTGTTGGATTAACATGGCTCGTCAGCACTTGGTACAGTTGTCCAGGGCAACAGATCCTGCAATACACAAAAGAGTTCCACACGGAAACAGTTATTAACGACCAACTGAAGGTTCTCTCGAGCGTTCATACTTCATCGCCTCGAGTTAGTGCTTATAATGCTATAAATGGGATCAACGATCGCCGCTAATGTGCTGAAAGAGAGAGCAGGAGAAAGATAAAGGCACGAGCTGATTCCATGCAATCCCCACCCTAACACCCTAACAGAGCCCCAGCGGTCAGTGTCGGCCGAAACCACACTGGGTAATCAAAAAACCGTCCCCTCCTGAAAAGCACATAAACCGCCAGGGTCGATCGACTGCGTCCGCGTCTATGGCACCGGAACGCTTTTGTAATTATAGCGCGTTGTCGCTCGTTACAGCGAGTTACAGCGCGTCATCGCTAAGACTGAATGCTGCCTGACATGTAGACGTCAGTTTATTTATATAGTACGTGAGCGAAGTGCATCGCACTACGCCATGTACACAACGGCTTTTCCTAGTTTGAGCTGATATAAAAGGAATTTACCTTGGGCTTGTCATGGCTTTATCAGCGATGACCTTTGGCTCAATTGAACTCCTCCAGCAGCCGTTCTCACAGTCAACATTTCGCAGAGCCGTGACTTGAACTTGGATTTTTTTACCTGCTGGTGCCTAAAAACAGATTTCTGAGGCTTTTTCACAGAAATAGGGCAGTATATACTGACTACCAACTGAGCAATCTCAATTGAAACCAAAGTCTGAAGCTGAAATGTTACCGTAATCCAGTCGTTGCACATGGTGTAAATGTCACGGATGACCATTGTTCTGGCATCACCAAGAGTAACTGTTCTCGACTTCCAGTTCCTGGTCGCTGCTAGTGTGCGACCGCATCCTGCGCGCTGAAATTCTCCAGTGGTTAACTTTTCAACTACTTCTTTAGTTGAATGGAGACGGCGATTGAGCGTTTCGTGAGGTATTGTTGGAGAATCTCGAAAAAGGAGACGCAACAGTATGACTTACACGTTTTTCGCATAATGTCCCACCATAGCCAAAGGGGCAAATGCATACAGAGCAATTCCTTGGGTTTGGGGCTCCCCCATTCGTGCAGTTTGCTCCAATACCAGCACAAGGAGCTGAAACATTCTGAAGTGACGTTTTTTCAGTGGACGGACATTATTGCGTGTTTGAAGGTTAACGATGTAAAACACATTGCTATCAAAATGTACACTCAAATCTGCGAACATCAGCCTTTCATGTGCGAGGTGCACGTTTCCCCAGCAGCAATGGCGTGCCATTTTCCCACTCAAACGTGCACGGAAGAGGATGGAGGGTAGAGCAAACAGGGTGCCATTTTCAGACTCCACCCGGGGTGTCTGCAAGGTTCAAGGTCACTACCACACCTCCAAAAAGGAAAACGTAATCAGCTGCGGACACTCAGAAAAGAAGGGCCCAGGCAAGCAGCGTGTCATGTTATGGTTAGGAGTGACTGTGACCGTGCAGCGGGGCGAGCGGAAAATGGCGACGGCACTTGGGCAGTACTGGATTTAGCCCCGTTCCTGTGTATTTCTGACCGGAGACAATGGCACATTAGTGCTGCTGTGGGCCCATTCAATAGCACAAAGCCGGGCTGTCTCGATGAGACGGAATGGTTGCCTCCAAGTGATGCGGTTGGATAATGTGCTACTCAGCACTCCGCTATCATTCAAGACCGACGACCAGCTCTACCCTTCCTGAGCCGAGTACAGTCGCTTCAGCTTTCGTTTCGTTCTCAATGCTTTAGGCGCGACCACTCCTCACCATGCTTCAATTCTAAGCATAGCTTAACTCAGCTATAGTCCAGTTCGCTGCCGACGAAGAGCCCGATGCAAGCGAAACGAGCTGGCGCGGTCGCGCAGACCATCTATTTTTACCACTTGTTGCATGCAAGCAATTGACAAAACGCGTTTACGCAGATCGTCCCTTCGTAATCAGTCGGTGTCTACATTGCGTAGCCTTTCCAAGCGACTGGCAGAGAAAAGACTGTTGGGCGGCGCGACACCCTGCATGCTGCCTAACACGCCCTTCATTTGCGCATGCGAACCGAAAGTGATACGACTGGAAAACGGCACATTCTTCTCTTTGCGCGCTCGGGCGAACAAAACCTTCCATTGCATTTATAATGCCAGTTGATCATCCTGATGTCGTAGAACGAAATAGTCTGCGACCCGAGTGTACGGAGATACTTTGGATTAAGAGGTATTATCGAATTGCCGTGGTCGGCGAACCTGAACACAGGAAAATATCCTTCTAGTAGAACTTGTGGTAGGGATATAACAATACTAGCTAATATCACTCACGCATCACTTGCATATTGCATATCGCTGCCGTATTCGTAAGGTGTGATCATTTGTTTGATAGAAAACGCATAGCGCTTTGACGAAGTTCTCTCGTTTTTTCTCCTGGAAACCTTTTTCTTCAAAAAGCAATTGTACATCAACCTTGCAGGGTCCCTATTGTGTCGAAGGTAAGCAGTTCCGCAGCTGTAACTGAAAGTCCGGCGGCTTCAAGCTGTTGGCTTAACGCAGAGCCCAAACATTTCCATTCATGGGGCGGGGGCTCAAAGGCCAAAGTCAAGGCGTTGTGTGATTCATTAGTGAGGAAAAATCAAAAACTCCCTGAAAACGCTGCAAATATCCATCTGTAGTCTCGATGAGAGAAAGGAAACAACCCTTATGGTTCGGCTACGAAGGGCGAAGACGGTAAAGCGAGCCAGAGCCGTGGCGCTGCTATCAAGGGAGATTCGAGATCTAGAGAATACTGGGGCATTCGGAGTGCGGCGCCGCCGTCCACCTTAGCCAAGAGCTTCTGCCAACAGGGGTTTTGCCCATCCCTTGGACTATGTCATCCAATTGCATTATTGCACGCCCATCTACCGGTGGATTCTCATTTCATGCCCATTTGTTGATGTTGGTTTTCAGGCTCACAATGATTGCCGCTTTCTCCCTTCGAAAATGAGCTGGATATCGTAAGGCTCACGCGAGGGTAACGGATCAGCCGAGTGTCATCGCCATACTCCCCCGCGTAGCCGCACGGCCAGCCACAGCTGCGATAAGTGCCTGCAGCCGTCTAGTAATTTTTGGATACTCAGTGTGTGTTTCGCAGAAGGCACCCGGGTGTCACTACCACCCAGCCCCCTTCCCCGCAAGACCTGGGCAACCTGGCTGCTCAGCGCACACGTTGGCAGGGTGCCAAAAAATATGGTGACTACCCGTCAGTATCATTGAAAACATTAAAAACATAAGGAGTAATAGCTGGCTAGATAACCTCACCGGCACTGATCCCAAGTTGATTTTGACGTACTTGTCTCTGTCGTCTCGCATGTGCATGTGCAACGCACCGAGAGCATGCATGAATTCATGCGCCACAGTGCCTACCTTCAAAGCATTTTATTATACTGCAATTCTTCCCGTATGGTTCAATGATTTTCAGTGATGTCCTCGATTTTATTCTACATCCACCCCAACATTAGACACTGTTTCTGTTGGGTACATCTCCGTGAAATACATGGCTAGTTGGTTATGAGAAACTCACTACCATACAGTCGTCAGTTAGTGATAACGCTTGAACACCTCCATCCATTCCAACAGAAGAATAGCAACCGGCTCCATCGAAAACCATTACACGATTTTTTGCTGTAGGATTCTCCACAAAATCAATACATGTACGAGCACTTAGATATTTTAGCACTTTTCTGATATAGGCTTGATTTCGAGAGGCTGGAAAAGTGAAGAAAGTTCTTGAGCAGACACAGCAATAAGCAGTTCAAGAAACAAACTTATGCTTCCATCAAAATAATAGAACACTGTGTTGTTTTCCCAGCGATTGGAATTTGCAGCGATTTGGCGCTTTTTTCGAGTTCTGGTCTCCATATCTTTTTCATAAGCTGATAGCTGTCCCCTGAAACGTGGTACGAATAACAGCA